GGAGATTTTGACTTCCTGTATTATAGCTTTCATCTCTAACAGGTCCATTTGATTCTTTTTTATAGTGTATATTTCCTCTTTTAGATCTTGCAAGAATTTCCTCATCTCCTGGAACTCGTCAGCTCCTTTCTCCTGCCTCTTCTGCAGTTTATTGTTTCTCTTCTCTTCCATCTCTGTTAGCTTTGTCACTATGAATATTCTAAATTCTTTATCAGACATTTCCATGAGTTTCATTATACTATCTGAGGATAAAGAGGAATTATTCTTTTCCCTAGAAGGAGATGTATTTTCTTGCTTTCCCATATTTCTTGTGACCCTGCGGTAATTTCTAGTCATCTGATAGATTGTGTGTTTCTTCCTAATTCCTTTCTTTTTTCTTTTTTTGGAGAGGTTTTCACTATAGGGTGCGTGCACTCGCCAGACAGACAGAGAGAGACATAGAGACAGAAAGTGAGACGCCGCAGTCCCTTCTCCTCCATTCTCCTCTTGGTGGGCACGCACGCACATGTGCCCAGCGTGAGTTTTAAGCCACCGGGTCCGGGACGCGAATCGCGGTTGACTACGTGGGAGTCCAGCCGCATAGCCATTACGCTAACTGCTGGTTCTCTCTTCCTAATTCTTGAAGTTCAATCTGAGCATCCCAGATTGAATTTAAGCATGCATTCAGAGGCGTGCAGAAGGAGGTGATCTGTAATCTCTCTTCTGTTTTCACTCTTTGATTCCATGGGAATAGAGGAATATTCTGACCCTAATAGTATTCGATGTTTGGATCCTGTTCACTTGGACCTATCTAGACACTTAGTGAGAAGAAGCCCCTAGAAATGAATCTGGAGGAAAATGTCTCAGCAGAAAATCTTAACTTTTGGTCAAGGGAAGCAATATTTCAGAGCTCAAGTTCAGTATCCATCTCAGGATGGGCCTGGCCTCCACCACTGTCTAATTTTATATCAAATGTCTCATTATCTCAAAAAGAAACTTCTTACCCTGTAGCGTTCACTTGTCATTTACTTCTTCCCCCAAGCCCTGACCAGCTACCAATTTATTTTGTGTCTCTATAGATTTGTCTACTCTGGATACTTCCCATAAATGGAATCTGATGGAATCCATGGAATGGAAGATCATACGTGATCTATTCTGACTGCTTTTCACAAAGCATAATGTTTTTAGGGTTCATCCATGTTACTGCATGAATCAGTACTTCACTCCTTTTTATGGCTGAATAATATCACATTACTAGATCATTTTGTCAGTGATTTCATCAGTTAAAGGATATTTGGGTTGTTTCGTTATCTTACTAGAGATATTTGTGTACAAATTTTTTAGGCGAGTACATGTTTTCAATTCTCTTGGATATATATACTCTATACTCTAAAGTGGAATTAGCATATGGTAACTATACTCAACTGTTTGAAGAACTACTAGACTGTTTTCCAGAATGGCTGCATCATTTTACATTCCCACTAGCATTGTTTGAAAGTTCCAATTTTGCCACATTTCCATCAACACTGGTTTTTCTTTTTTTATTAAAGCCATCTTAGTGGGTGTGACATGGTACATTGTGGTTTTGATTGCATTTCCTCAATGACTAATGATGTTGATCATCTTTTAATGTGCTTTTTGGCCATGTTTATCATCTTTGAAGAAACATTTTCAAATTCTTAGCCCATTGGGAACCAGCAGTTAGCGTAATGGCTATGTCGCTGGACTCCCACGTAGTCGACAGTGGTTCGCGTCCCGGACCCGGTGGCTTAAAACTCACGCCGGGTGCGTGTGCGTGCGTGCCCAAGATCCCGAGAGGAGAATGGAGGAGAAGGGATTGTGGCGTGACCATCCCCCCTGGGGGGTGATTTCTCGCTTTCTGTCTCTATGTCTCTCTCTGTCTGTCTGGCGAGCGCACGCGCCCTATAGTGAAAAACCTCTTAAAAAAAAAAAGTTCTTAGCCCATTTACAAATTTTTTATTTTTGTTATTCAGTTGTAAGAGTTTTTATATATTGTGGATAGAAGTCCCATAATAGATACATGATTTGTAAAAACAAAATTTTTAAGGAGTTTTTACCTTAGAGACAGTGAGAGGGAAAGTGAGAAATCACCCCCTGGGGGAATGGCCACACCGCAATCCCTTCTCCCCCATTCTCTTTCTGGGATCTTGGGCACACATGTACACCTACCCAGTGTGATTATCAGGCCATTGGATCTGGGACTCAAACCAGGTTTGTCCTTGTGGGAGTCCAGTGATGTTACTGGTATGCCATCTGCTGGTCCTGATTTGTAAATATTTTATCCCTTTCCATGAACTGTCTTTTACATTCTTTGATGCTGTTCTTCGAAATACAAATATTTTTAATTTGTTTTTTGTTTGTTTGTTTGTTTTGTTTGGAGAGGTTTTTTTTTGCTATAGAGTGTGTGCACTCGCCAGAAAGACAGAGAGAGAGAGACAGAAAGTGAGCAATCATCCCCACCCCC